CGGGGGTTACATGAGAACAGACAGAGAGATACAAGGCATCAAGGGTTCTCAGGGTCCCTCATCCCTTTCAGTATCCTCCTACCTCCTATAGAGGGAAGAAGGCGAGAAAGCAGGGCAAGGAAGGAGGGGGGGAGAAAGAGGGAAGAAGGAAGAGAGAAAAGAGAGAGAAAAAACACAGGGACAATACTGACTCGTTCTTCCCAGCAGGTCGAGCTCGTGAGGCAACGTTGTGCGATGGTCTTCGCAGGAGCAGACCGTAGAGAAGGTGAGGTGAGGGGGGTGGAGATGGGGGAAGAAGGTGGAAGATATAGAAACAGAAGAATGAAGGAACAAGACTTGCTGTCGCCAAGAGAGTATATATATATATGAATATACAGAGGACGATGCGAGAGAGAGAAGAAGAAGTGATTGTCCAAGAGGTAAAAGAAGAAGAAGAAGGAAAGAGAGATGAGAAAAATAAGAATAAAGATAAAAGGTATGGACAACTACAAAGATGGTGGTCTTGTGAGTTGGTTTGCCGTGCAAGTTTTGTTGCTCTGATAGGGAAACGGGGAATGAGGGTAGCAAGAGAGGCGAGGAGCGGCAAAGGTTATGTACTCCATTGCTTTCTCGACAGGTATACACAGACACACACACACACTCTCTCTCTCTCTCTCTCTACAGACATCTTCCGTCTCGGGCTGGGCAGCGATGAGAGAGATACTAGGAGAGGAAGAGAGATAGAGGAGACTGAGGAGGAGAGAGAGTACATCCGATCAAGTACCGTGATGTACAGGTCGACGCAAGAGGTGGGCGAAACTGGGCCGTGCTGGGCCGTGACATGCTGCAGCGGGCCTACGAGGTACATCAGGTACATCGGGAGGTATACGATGGATGTACTTTTTAGTAGCGCTTTCTCGTACATTTGTATCTTTTTTTTTTTTTTTTTTTTTTTTTGCCCTTCTTCTCTCCCTCTACTCTCTCTCTCTCCCCTCTACTCTCTTGTAAGTTACCGCGGGTTTACGAGAGCCGAAACAGAAGGGGAAAGAATATCGTAAAGATGAAGATTAAGAGTAAGAAGAAAGACTTGTCTGTGTACTAGCTATGTATGCACTCATCATCACCCTCTACCTATCGCGTCCTGTTACGATATCCCGTTCGACCATGACCTTGTAGGCTATCTCTCTCTCTCTCTCTCTCTCTCTCTCTCTCTTCCTCTCTTCCCGTGTCCATCATACAGAGTTACGTACCTCTCGTAACGAGTAATAGATGTCCGTATCCTACATGATACTTTGCCAAAAGTCAATGATAGTGGGCAGTAGCAGTACGAGTACATATACCGAGCGGTACTACTATCCTGTACCATCTCATCACATATCCTTGCCCGATCTCATCTCTTCAATCCACAGATACACAGATACACAGATACACCTTGCGTAATACCGCGCCTACGGAATACCTACCTTGTACAGATCCGTACTCTCTCGCATGGAGGGGGGAGCAGCCCCTCCGCCTACGCGTACCGTGCTCTGTCACTGATACTCCGTCAGCTCCACTATGGAGAAGGAAGACTTTAGAGAGAGAGAGAGAGAGAGAGAGGGAGAGAGGGAGAGAGAGAGTAATAATAATTAATTAGTTAGTTAATTAATTAATTAATTAGTTCAATGGATTATTATTTTTTAAGAAAAAAAAGAGGCCATATGACTCCCACCTCCGTACTCGGTGATGTTTCGTCCTAGAATGAACGCATCGCTCCCGTCAACTCCAGTCTCATGGCCACCAGGTCGGTCAAGACAATGGTCAAAGTCTACGGCATATACCTGCCCAGAGGGGAGAAGGCCGGGTTGGAGAGACCTCATGGTAAGGCGTCGATGTTTTGTCTTCTTCCTGCTTTCTCTTCTTTTTGTTTATCATCATTATTCTTGTCATGATTGCTACCATCATAATTCTCCTTCTCAGCAAAACTTCATCGTTTCACAATAGTCACATCTCAACCATCGGCATCTGTATCACGGATAGATGCTCTCTCACCAACGACCATCACGGTCTAGCTCTCCTCCTCCTCCTCCTTCTTCTCTCTCAACCCCATCTGCCCCTCCCCGGAGCAGCGATGAGCTCGTCTTGCGTCGAGACCGGGTGGGAGAGCAGCGACGGGTCTGTCTGTGCGATGGATACCACTCCGTAAAACCGATATAATATGGAGGAGAGACCTGCTGCGGGGACCCTCTGCCTACCACGGACGAGTAGAGAGGGAGAGGAGAATCGGCTGGCTGGGGGGGGACCGCTGGGTTGCTACGGAGTTTGATGGAACCTCTCCAGCCAGTGGTTTGCCGACCGTCTGACCGCCTTGTTCCTGTCGTTTCAGCCGTCAACTGACAATGTCATTCCTCCACATGCTACCGAGTTACCACCCGTCGCTCGTAGGCTCCTGCCAGTAATAAGACGGTTATTCCATTTTTTTTCCATTTTATCTTGATTTTTTTTAAATCTTTTTTTTATTCTTTAATCTTTTTTATTCTTTATTCGGTTAGTACCACACCAAGATGCGCCATCCAGTCCTCCTTCTCACCTGCCGATGCGGTGCTCCTCTCTCTGTCTCTCTCTCTCTCTCTCTCTTGTGACTTGCTAGCGGTAGTGATATCTCGGCCGGCTTCCCATCCCTATGGCTACTAGTAGACGGGGCTTTGACATGTCTGATATCGTCGGAGGGCAGGCCACGAAGAGTCGTAATCATCTGTACAACATCTCTGCCGCCACCTCTCTGTGGCTGTACTGCATCAGCTATTGAGTGGTGGCACGAGCTGTACATTGTGCATCGTGGTAATACTAGGGTAATGCTACTTCTTGCTATATATCAATACTACTACTTACTACTTTACTAATACTGCTTACTACTACTCACTACGTACTGCGTACTACTACTACCACCACCGACTATTACTGAATCGTGCTACTACTACTATCACGACTACTACTACTACTACGACTACTACTTACTACTACTACTTACTACTACTACTACTTACTACTACTACTGACTACTACTACTGACTACTACTGCTGACTACTACTGCTGACTACTACTACTGACTACTACTGCTGACTACTACTACTTACTACTACCACCACCACCACCTATTACTACTACTGCTTACTAGGGTACTCCTACCAGAACCCAATAGTATCCATCTCCTCTCTCGTCAACTGATACAAGCATCAAGTGAATCTAAAATGTCATGCCACAAAAAGCAAAAGAGGGAAGACGAAAAGAAAAAAGAAAAGAAAAAAGGTACATCCGTCCCGAGACCATCACTCTTCCAACCCCTGTGATGTTTATAAAAAGAATACAATGACTTTTTTTTTTTTTTAAAAAAAAAAAAAAAGTCTGAAGCCATCAGCCATCAATAAATCCCGGTGCTCCGTAATGTCCGTTGCCTGGTGGGCGGTCAGTGGAGAAGGTTTGAGGCTTGGGTTGGGCAGAGATTTCGACCCCTTTGGGTCTCTCTACCTAAATTGCCCGCGGCGGCGGCGGGGGGGCTTAGTCGGTACCTACAGTCAGGTCATCGCAGGCCGCCGATATCACTGGCCAGCGGCTGCTGGCTACTGTCTGCTGGGCCTGCCTTCTACTGGCTACCGTCCACTGGCTACCGTCTACTGGCTGCTGTCCAGTCTACTGACCTACGCTACAGCGTATCCTCCCCCTCCTTTCCGTATTCCCCGTGAGCTATCACTGGCGGGCGTCGATTCGCAAGTCGCTCGAGTCCATCACCTGCTTCTTCAGGTGTTTCCGATAAACCCAACGATGCTGTGTCCAAGGGTTCTAATAGGATCGAGAGGCATGGCAGTCTCTGTGCATCCGTAGTACGGGTACGGGTACGGGTACGTACGGGTATTGACGATGACGATGCTACTTACTACTACCGCTACCACCACCACCACCACCACCACCACCACTACTACTACTGCTCACTGCTGCTACTGCTGCTACTGCTGCTACTAGACTCGACTAGCAACTAGTAGCACGGATAATGCGTCTCAGGCTTGCCTCGTGGGAGAGAGAAAAGAAACCCAAGGATGGCAGGGAAACGACGCCATCGACGGGACCGACGCGGGCCGTATCCGTTAGTTCCCAGGAGAGGGCCCCCCCTTCCCGGTCCCCACCAACCCGACGGCCAAAACCAAGAGGTATGTGATGCCAGCTCTGGGCCTATCACCCTCAAGGTATCACCATCCATCATAGCCGTCCGCCGTGCCCTCGTAAGGATCAGAGAGAGTCGGGCAGTGTGGTAGACACGGTCAACCTGGATAGCTCTAGATTAACTCACGATACGAGTAAGAAGTTTTATATTTTTCATATTTTTTATATCATTTTTTTTAAGAAAAAAAGAATGAAGGAAAAACCCTCTCAGGTAATTATTACCAGTATTACCTACCACCCATCATCAGTGGATTGTCATATTGCTACCACCATGGCACCATCACACCCCTCCCACCTGATCTCCCCCCCCATATCAGTCCATGACGACTGCGATACGAAGGTGTGGGGAGGAGAGAGGGCTCTACTTCTAGAACGTCCCTTTGGAGCCGAGAATGAAAGTCTCCCAAGGTCGAGAGAGGTCTCTCTGGTTGATCAGCTCTCACCACAAAAGATACTTGATTCTTTCGACGTCAGATTTATTCTCTGAAATGAAGATTAGAAGGAAAAAAATTAGGATTTTTTTTTTAATTTTTAATAGAAAATCTTATCAAGCAAAAGAAGAAGAAAAAGAAAATCCCCCGATGTCCGGTTTCTTGCCCTTTTCCCTCCAAGCTCACCAACATGGCACACCACCAAAACGAGAAGAAGACGAAAAAAAAAGCCGTCCCTCACCATTCTGTTACCCGTAAACGGATCCCCAACTTCTCGGCTGACTTGGGGGAGTGTGCTGCGGTCTCGTGTGCGGGTGGCACTGACAGAGAGAGAGAGAGGGGAGCAGTCATCCGTCCTCGTCCTGGCCTGCTGAGCCGGAACGCAGAGATGAATGCATTGCTTCACCCCCAACCCCCAACCCCCAATTCCCATTCCTATTCACATTCCCATTTTTTCCCCTCTTCCTTTCCTTGGCTTCTCTTCCTCTGCTCTGGTGGTTAGAATGGTTGCGTTGCTGCTGTGACACACACACACACACACACACACCCCTTTGGTACGCCCTCCAATGAAGTCATCACGACCCCTGCTCAAGGGTCGCATATCAGCCGGCCTACTGCTCCGTAATAGATCATTGATACTCTCTAACCCGCCTACGAGCATTATTACACATCAGTACAATGTGTATGTATTGTCTGATTCATTCGACTTCCTCGCCTCTCATTCGATTGCATTATTATACCATACCACTATACGTTGGGCAGCAAGACTTTTTGCCAGGCTCGGGAGCAGAATCTCGTCACCGCCCTTCATCATGATTATTAAGATCGCCGCCCGTCCTCTTTTCTCTTTCCCCCTTCCCTCTCCTCCCTCTCTCTCCTTCGCGAGTGATACCTTTTCTTTTCTTGTAACACATGTACGGAAGTACATGTACGCACGTTCCGCATCAGTCATCACACGCGCACACGCACACGCACACGCACACACGCACACACAACAAAATGCATACGCATACGCATACACATACGCACACGCACAATGCGGCTTTTAACTTCCGTGATAGTATTAATAGTGCCTGGTACATGGCCATTCTACCTACTGGTAGTACATGTATAATGCACTAGCAGTACATATGATACAGGTACCGATGGCGAGTGAGTTATGCATCTCTGGTCAAGAAGAGATAGAGTATCAGAACATAATTAGAGAAGAGAAAAATAGTGATGATGATAAAAAAGGAAAGATGCTCCGTACCTGGCGTTGAGTGCCTCGTCCTGATCCCCCCTCCTTTTGCTACCCAATCAACCCTATATGGAGACCTGTGAAGCCAGAGATGGAAGGCCATGAGACGCGCCAATCTTCTCTCTCTGGCAGCCTTGCGTCAGGAACGTCATGTTACATTCAACTATATTCGACTATGCTCATACATTTCCCTCTCTTCTTTTCTTCTTCTTCTCCTTCTTTAATCAATTGAATCTTTTATTTTATTTTTATTTTTTTAATCTTTTCAAGAAAAAAAAATTCTAGATGGCAGGACCTGTAATCAATCGGCGGCTCTTCCTCCTACTTTCCCCGTGTCCCTCGTAAAGAATCAATATGATCATGATGATGGATGGCCAATCTTGCAAGCTGATCCTTGACAGCTCCCAGCGTCCACTCATACTCGGCCCTCTTACCGAGAATACCATAATCTTCTGCATGGCATGTACGCACCTCCTACCTACTGATAACCTACCCATTATTACCCTCCAAACCCCCCCCCCTTCCTCCTCAACCTTCCATTCTAATCATTCTATCCTGACGTCTGATCCTGCTACCCCGTGATAATATTACTAAACCTCCGACTCTGGCAGAATTCGTACCCACAAATCCACAGTCCCACCCCGAGGGTCACTACCCGCATACTCCGTACCCCGTATACAGATGACTTACTCCGTAGCCTGACATGGCGGTCAAGCAGGAGAGAACGGATGTGATGATGCTACGAAGTAGATACCCGTCGCGCACCTGTCCCCGTAAATAGCTCTGATACCACGCGAGGAGAGGAGAAGGAAGACAATCTTCATACGTGTCACAGAATGCAAGGGAAACCGGGCCAGGTGGAAAATGAGTCATTCCTCTCCCGGTTTCGCAAAACTCACTTATACACACCGCACAACAGCACAACAGCACAAACAGCACAAACAGCACAAACAGCACAAACAGCACAAACAGCACAACCGCACAACCGCACAACCGCACAACCGTACATGTCATGTAGAGATTACTACGATGCACCATGTGCCTGCCATGCCGTCTTCCATGTGGCTTCTAGCCGAGGCAGGAACAGGAAAGCAGCATGAACAATTTGAAACATGACTTTCTCTCTCTTTCTCTCTCTCCATCGATAGCACCGTCATCGACCGTGATTCGTATTTTCCAACCCAGAAGGGAGGGAGAGAGGAGAAGAGTAAGAGGCTACAGGTGGTGAGAGGATTACACCGTTCTCCGCTTGGGCACCGTCGTCGTCTCATTCACCATTCTAACTCGTCGAGACGTACGGGAAGATTACTGTATACCATCATAGCAAAAACGTGAAACATCATGGCCCCCTACGCTCGCAACGTCCAGGAGGCCTCGTTCCCCCCCCCCCTTTCGGGTAGCCACGTACAGATCACATCGGCAGTGATGAGGCCACTGTTGTGAGCGAGAGTCCCCATCCATCAAGTGAGACGGCATGATACCCGAGAGGGCAGATTCGGAATGAGCCATGCTCCTCCCTCTCCATCAGGGGACATGGTAGGTCCGGGAAGCTCCTCCACTCTATTGGTGGTTGAGCAGTCCAGTATATTGGTCCTTCACTCGGGACAGCACATCTCTCATAATCACCGCCTAGCAGTCCGGTTGGCAGCAGTGGTGCTGGTAGTAGTATAGACGTCATCCCATTTGAGATGATACCACAACCGTAGTCTAGCAACATCTAATAATCCATCCTCCCCTTCCGTCCCGTCGTCATATATCCTCTGTAAAAAAACCCTCCAGCGGCATCATGTATGCACTTCAAGTCGTGAAGGCCGGAGGGGGGGGGGGAAGGAAAAATAAATTTAAACAATAACAACAACAACAACAAACACCACGAAAGCGCCAAACATGATTCATCATATCCATTCACCACCCCATTTCCCCTCCAGCGTACCAGCCGCCCTTTCCGACCTCGATGGGTGTGTAACCTTTCAAGAGACTAGTTCGTTTTGATCCCTCCATATATATATATATATATGTGGGGAGAAAAACAAAAAGAAAAAAAAAAGAGAGGGAGGGAAAAAAACAAACGAAAGAAAACCTGCCCCCAGAGTACCGCTCCTTTCGCCAGAACTTGCATCTACTGAGTAGGAAACCCCGCCAGCTGTAGAAGACGCTCACCAGCCTTGATGTTGGCATACTCGTAGACCTTTGACTCGGGAGGAAGGGTACCGTTGGCCGCCCAGAGGTCGATGAGGGGCTGCATGGGCTCGAGCTCCTGCGGCTTGAGCATGTCGAGGGCTGTGGCCGTCAGGAGGAAGTGGCTGAAGCAGCTGTTCAGCTGCTTCTCCAGGTTGAGGTGGTAGAACGGGTCGATGAAGTGCGCCCAGTACAGGTGCGCGTAGACCCGAAACAGCTGTCGGAAGATCATCTGGCACACGTCGACGAACCTGTCGGGGAACCCAGACCTCTTGCCGACCCAGTCGGGGTCGCCGGCGCCCGACTGCTGGGACTGCTGCGCCGCCATCGACGGGCTGAGCGCGTACGATACGCCGGAGTGCTCGGTCGGGAACGTCTTGGTGTCATCAATCTTGCCCGAGATCCACCGCTGCATCAGGGATATGTACTCGAATGCCGGGAGTTCGACGGGTTCGCGTCGGCTGTTGAGCCACGTGAAGGAGTGGTTGCTGCCGGATGGTGTGAGCGGTCACGTACATGGGGGACAAGTCTGGACGTTTCGCCGTGGACACTTACGCTCCCGCAGACATGCGCGGGCAGGTAGTCTGGTTGCAGATGGTGGTGCCGTTCTCTTCCTTGTCGTGGAGAACACGCACGAAGTTCCACAGGTTTCGGAAGTGTTCAACCACTGGACGAGGTTCATCCGTCAGCCACCAGGTTCTTCCCGTCCTCTGCTCACCAGGAGATCCTACCTTGATGCGCAATCCACTCTCCTGGCTCCACCGTCTTCGGCCGGGCACTCAGCGTCATGAAGTTACCCTTGACGATGTGCTTTCCGTAGTTCGAGTTGAGCCAGAGCGGGAGCGGGTTAGGCAGGCGGTAGGAGGCGAGAATGTCGTCGCCCGAGGCGGCTGCCGGGCTCTCCATGCCGATCGTCTGGGCGAGCGAGGGCGAGCTCGGCAAGGGCGGTACCCGCGGCGCAGAGCTAGATGAGGAGAGGCCCGGCTGGTGGTGCGGCTCGGACGGGTTGGTCGACCCGGTGGTTGGCGATGACGCCTGGCTCCTCTGCTGAGCAGGAGGCCGCGACGAGCCACCGCCACGAAACCTAGCATTTCTGGTCAGAATCGGGACATCAGCATCTCGCCATCCACCGCCGAGATCTTCATGACGAAGAGGAAAAGCAAAGCAGAGATCATCGTGGCAAGACGGCCACGTAAACGGCGGCAATCATGTTTCGAGCAGTAGACGTCGGCGGATAGGCAATGCGTGGCAGCGCCGAGTCTCAGGTGAAGCAGATGCCGTGTCGGACGCAGGCAATGTCCAGACGCCGCTGGTCGTCCGCACCATCGTCTGCATCGGCATGCAAGCGTACGCCAGTCTTCTCAACGGACGCCATGGGCACTCGAGAGCGGTCGTTTCGATTACGTCCAACCACCCCTTGCTGGTGCCCGAGAGAATGTGCTCGCCCGTCGCCGTCCAGATGGCCTACGTCGACAGTTCCGCACCCGTCGGTGTTCTCGGGGAAGAGGCCGAAGCATGGCTTCTCGTCGGTGCGAGGTCGGGATGCCATCTCGAGCTCAAGGGCATGTCCAGACCATGAGAGCCACCGAGCAGATGCAGAGTACCCGAGCGCTTGCTCTCGCACATACACATCCGCATTCACGTGCCATCCCTGTCTCCCAGCAGCAGCTCTGCGCCCAGGCTGATATACGTCACCAAGGGTGAGAGGAGTGCCCACGCGACCCAGACCCCGAAGCCTGCGGTGCCAGACATATGCTTGGCGAATGAACCAGCAAGGGATAGTGACAAAACATAAAATTCGAGGTTTCAAGTCCAAAAAAAAAAAAGGCAGAAGAACGAGAGGCTCACATTCCAGAAAATAGATTTGACATTTTGTCTGTGCAGAGATATCCGCGTAGCCTCTTCCCGCAAGGCTTCGGATGTAGAGAGGAGGTGAAGGAAGAAAAGGAAGGAGGGGTGATGATGGTCTCTGGAGCGGCGGTCGCACAATCCGACGAGTCTAGGAATCACAGCCGGAATGAGGGCGGGTGGGAGGTTGACGTCGCCTCTGAGCGAGAGGATGAGAAGCGAGGAATATGAGACGATAGTTGGGCAATGGGCATCAGAGATTGAGGAGAAGGAGAGGAAGGAAAGGTGGTTTTGTCTGCCCCGTCTCCCGTCTGGATCGAGTTGGTGTGTGACCGTGTTCGAGGGGCAGACAGAACCGGTCAACGAGGCTATGGCGGGGTGGGCCGTTTAGGGGCAGGCACTTCACAGGCGCCCTGGATCGTTTCAGGAGCTCTGGTGTTCCCCCTAGCGTGACTCGCGAGTGCCTGGCCCCCCAGGCTCGGTACCTTTCCTCTTACATTACCCGTACCTGGTAGGCATCGATTACTCAACTGCAGGGCCTCTCGGTAACGGCATTCTACTCATCTCATCCGATGGAGGAGACCTCGAAAAGAAGTCGTCCGAAGGCATTGTCCCGTCAGTACTCGTGGGAGGGGGGAGCCGGTCTATCAGGAGGGTACATGCCGTCATTGTAATAATGGTGGAGACCTCTGATGGATGATATCGCTACTACGGCGCGTAGTGCACCGTATAACACCACTGTAATTACTCCGATGCAAGCCCAAAGCTTCTGCCTCTACCTGCTCCATTAGCTGTTGAAAGGATCCCTGCGCCACATAATACCCTGTGGCGCGCCCAGCCTCAGCCTCCCTCGCTGCAGCAGCTGCATTTTGCGGTCGCGCCGCGCGCCAAATTGTGACGAGAAGAGAAAGGCGGATTTCGGGCGGAACTCTTGGTCTTTCTGTGCTTCCTCTCTCTCGCGTGTATCAGCTCAATTGCCATCACGTCCCATCCACCGAGCAGGACGCTTTGCTCGTCTATCGATCCCCTCCGCGCTCCCTTTCTCTCGAAGTTGAAGAAAAAAACAGGGCATCGTATCCAGACAGCAGCGACCGGCATCGCCATGTCCGACTCTGAGGATCCCATCGACCCCATCGACGAGGGAGGCGACGACCTCTTCGGCGACGAGCCTGACGAGGTTGACGAGGCGCCCGCATCTCCCAAAGAGCACGTTCTCGATGACGACGAACTAGCTTCAGACCCGGAGGGTGATGACCAGCATGGCAGATATGACCAGCATGATTACGGAGCGCAAGATGAGGACGAGGTCAGGGAGCGCATGGTAGTCGACGTGACAGCGTACCGTCATCCGGTGCCTAAGCCGACGGATGGAGTGGTAAGTTCTACCTCTCTCCCTCTCTACCCCTCTCTCTCTCCTCGCTTATCTGGAGGAATCATCATATCCCATAACTGACGGGGCGCCTTTCTCTGCAGCTGCGTGTCCTGCGCGTTCCCANCCCCCCCCCCACCCCTCTCTCTCTCCTCGCTTATCTGGAGGAATCATCATATCCCATAACTGACGGGGCGCCTTTCTCTGCAGCTGCGTGTCCTGCGCGTTCCCAAATTCATCCGCCTGCACCCCGAAGAGTATCGCCCCGACAGCTTCGAGCCGTCGGAGCTAGACATTGCCAACGCCAAGCAGGAGCATCCTCAGCAGGTAGTCCGGTTCCGCCGGGACGCCGACACGGGGCGTCTTCACAGCAACGCCAACCTGCTCCGGTGGAGCGACGGGTCGGTGACGGTGTCGGTGGGCGGGGAGCAGTACGAGATCCAGAAGAAGCCCCTGGCGCCCCCGCCGGGCAAGGCCTACAACGAGCTGCAGGACGCGCACTACTACGCCGCGGCTGCCGAGCTGAGCAGCAACATGCTCATGACGGTGGGCCACGTGACGGAGCAGTACAGCGTGCGGCCCAACAAGGACGTGGGCGACGAGGCGCTCAACCGCCTGGCCGACAGCATGGCCCTGGCCAGCAAGATGGCCCAGAACAGCCTCATCATCCGCACCACCGTCGATCCGGAGCTCCAGAAGAAGAAGGCCGAGCAGCTCGAGAAGGAGCGCCTCAAGGCCCAGCGACGCCAGGAGAACGCCCAGGCCCGCCAGGACTTTGGCATGGGCCGGTCCTCCGGCCGCGGCGGCGGCGGTCTCTCCATAGGCGCCCTCGAGGGAGGCGGTCGCCGGAAGAGGGCCGCGCCCGGCGGTCCGAAGCAGCCCAGGAAGCGCCGCCCCGATTACGACTCCGACGACGACCTGCCCCCCGGCGGTGGCGGCCACCAGGAAAAGTACGACCTCGACGACGGCTTCCTGGTCGATAGCGATGAGGAGGAAGAGGAGGAGAGCGGGGCGGGCGACGATGACGACGACGACGACGACGACATGCTGGACGACGAGGCCCCCTCGCGCTCCAAGCGCCAGAGGACGGCTGAGGCTGACGAGGACGGTGACGAGGACGCGTCGGGCGACGACGTGGAAACCGCCCCCGAGGCGGTGTCCAGGAGCCGTCGGCGCAACGTTGTCGACGACGACGACGAATGAGCCTGACCGGCGGCGCGCCTGGGATGGGGGCCTTTCTTGTCATTGTAGCAGTATTCATATTTCAGTCTGGGATTCGAGGCGTAAAACACTGGGACTACGAAGATAGATAATAAATGTCATGGTATTTCGTGGGACGCAGCTCCCGCTCTAGGAGCTGATCGAGCATGATACACTGCTAGTGACGATAGTGACGATACTGCCATCAATCGGATTCGCTCACGCCTTCCGTCAACCACTGTATACATGCTAGAATCAAGGGTTTTCAGGTTAAGCCATGTTCAGTCGTACCCGATGCTTGCAGTCGCATGGCGCGGAGTAGAGCACATGCCCCATCTACCCCAAAGCGGCCAGGAGCGCCTCCCCCCCCCCTTTTCATCAAATTCTGTCACATGCTCCAGTCCGGGGTAGTTGGGGCGGGGGAGTGAGACAATGAAGCAACATACCTTGACGGTACATTTTAGCCGACCTGCCTTTCTCTCTCCCCCCCCCNCCAGTCCGGGGTAGTTGGGGCGGGGGAGTGAGACAATGAAGCAACATACCTTGACGGTACATTTTAGCCGACCTGCCTTTCTCTCTCCCCCCCCCCCCCCCCCCCCCCTCCTCCTCCTCCCCCATACATGTTCTGCAATGGACGGCGTACTGATTCCTATCCAGAAACTTCTCAGCTGGTATACGCGCCGCAATCCCACGGACCTCTGGCTGGAGCTCCTGCAGAATGCAGAGTCGTTTGAGGAGTGGGAAGAGGCAGCTCTGCACCTCGACAGCCTTCTAGGACTGGATCTATGGTATATGCTATACTTGACCCCCCCTATCCCGGTGGGCGCGAGCGGGAGACGGCGACGGACTGACATGGACGGAGACGCCAGGCGCAACAATCCGACTTCGAAAGACTACGACTGGCGCCTGATCACCGACCGGCTCGGCTCTCTCGTGTCCGCGCGCGAGGACGGCAACTTCCAGCAGCTGGTCAACCTGATCCGGTCCGGGCTGGTGCGCAACCTGGGCAGCATCACGGCACCGAAGCTATACAACCGCGCTTTCGCCGGGACAAAGTATCTCATTGAGGAATACATATCCCAGGTGGCCGAGTCGGTCGACGACATCAGCGCCCTCCCCACCGCGAGCGGGGGCCATCATCAGCATTATCATCCCCATCAGCGGCAGCGGCAGCCGCCGGCTCTCCTGGACGGCGGCGGCATCGGCAGCGATAGCGCCCTGACCACTCAGATGAAGCTGGACTTTATACACGACACCAGGCAGGCCTTTGGTCGGAGCACCCTCGTCCTCCAAGGCGGGACCATATTCGGCCTGTGTCACCTGGGCGTCGTGCGCGCCCTATTCCTGCGGGGCCTGCTGCCGCGCATCATCACCGGCACGGCTACGGGCGCCCTGATAGCGGCCCTGGTGGCCATCCACACCGCCAACGAGCTCCCTTCCATCCTTACCGGGGAGGGTATCGACCTGTCCGCCTTTGGACGGAGGGACGGAGATGCCTCGTCGTCGGGCAATCAGATCTCGCGGTGGGATACCCTGATGCGCAGGATCCGCCGATTCTCGCGCGAAGGCTACTTCCTGGACGTGACGGTGCTTGAGGAGTGCGTCAGGGACAACGTGGGCGAGCTGACGTTTGAAGAGGCCTATAATCGTAGCAAGAGGGTCCTGAACATCACCGTCGCCACGAAGAGTCAGGGTGGTGTGCCCACGCTGCTCAACTATCTCACAGCACCCAACGTGGTAGGTCATCTATGCACACACGCACACACACACACATGCACGGAGCACTTTTCTCTCTCTCTTTCTCTCTCTCTCTCTCTCTCTCTGTCCGTGACCAACTCCCTCTCTAACCGTGTTCCACCCGGGGTAGCTCATCTGGACGGCGGCCGTGGCCTCCAACGCATCGTCCCCGACGCTATACGAGGAGGGGAAGGCGACGCTCCTCTGCAAGGACGTGCACGGGCACATCGTCCCGTGGGCGCCGGCCAAGACGGCCGACTTCCACCACTGGACGCAGGCGTCGTACAGCGACCGCGAGTCGCCTCTGCGGCGGATATCCGAGCTGTTCAACGTGAACCACTTCATCGTCAGCCAGGCGCGGCCGTACCTGATACCGTTCCTGCAGTCGGACATGCACGGCCCGTCGGCGCTGGAGACGCGCGGGCGCGCGGCGACGCAGCTGCCGGCCTTCCTCCTCCGCATGGTGGGGCTGGAGGTGCGCCACCGGCTCCGGCAGCTCGACACTCTGCGGCTGCTGCCGGCGAGCATCCGGCGCTTTCTGGTGGACGAGCAGGTGCCGGCGGCGTCGGTGACGCTGGTGCCCGAGGTGACGGCCGCCGACTTTGTGCGCCTGCTCGAGACGCCGACGCGCGAGACGGTCAACTACTGGATCCTCCGCGGGGAGAGGAGCGTCTGGCCGGCCGTCGCGGCCCTGCGTATCCGGTGCGCCGTCGAGAACGAGCTCGACAGGTCGTACCAGGTCGTCAGGAAGCTCAAGGCCGGAGGGTTGCGGAGGAAGAGCAGCATGTCGACGTCTACCGAGGCGGGTATGTCAAGCATGGCAGGCAACTGAGGAGCATCCCCCGCCACCTGGGCGCTGCACAGACGCAATCAGCGGCATAACGATGTAATATATGTCTATTCATCTTTTCACATGATGGGGTTTTTCTTTTCTTTTTTTTGACATGGACCCCATTTTTTTCGCCTGTATTATTATATTGCATGATGAGCAGTGGGACAGGGGAGGTGAAGCACCACGTCGGGAACGATGGTCAACTGACGACATTGCTCACCAGTGGTAGGACACTACAGGGAGACGGATGTATAACATATATCAAAATATATATCAAAGGTTTCTTCCTGTCCGAGGACCAAAAGGTAAGAGCTTCACGATATATAGCATGGGTGAAATAGAAAAGAAGTCTCACCCGAATGAGGTTGAGATTTTTTTATTTATTTATTTTATTAATTTTTTTCTAGTTTCCTAGTAACAAGACAGAACATTTCGTACTTCTCTTCATCCAAAATTCATGCTCTCACCAAGTACGTGTCCATAATAGTAATACTCGTACAGAAAAGAAGAAGGTAAAAAAAAGGGGGTGGTAATATATATATCAAGGGTTGAAACAACAATCATATATATATATATATATATATATGTGTGTGTGTGTGTGTGTGT